AATACATTGGTCTTATGACACCAGAAGCTGGTATCAGAATGGACATTTCTACTCAGGGGGAAATGCCATTTCCACTGGAGCGGGGAATCAGTCTCTCACCAGGACACGCGACAATGATCGGACTGAGGAAGGTAAGAAACTGGACGTTTTGCCAATCTTAATTGCGACCAACGTGGCCAGATTCAGTTGCTTCAAAGTCTTGTTGGGAACTGAGAAATGCTAACTTGCTGATAACATGATAACACTGCTGGCTAATCCACAGTCACCTTTTTCTTTTACTCCAGGCCATTACTTCGGCAGTCCCCCGGTAATGCCTCTCCTCATGATTAAAAAGATAACTTATATTTATTGCATTGAAAAGTACTAACGGTCAATAATTGGTTCGCCATACTCTAGGGCCTCATTAGTCAATAGTTTGATTTGCTCAATGATGACTTGCTTTATCAGCATTTTTTCGCACCATGTAAAGGAATGATCCAGAATCCGCAATCCTTGCTTGTGGAATCCGGAAACCTGAGTTTTTGAATCGGAAATACAGCTCAAGGTATCCGGAATCTCACTAACGAGTAACGATTGGAATCCGGAATCCAAGATCCACGGTCCACTGACAAAGATGACGGTATGTAGTCGAGTATCTGTCATGGATTCCCTTACATTAGGCGAAATGTTTGACAGAGTCTCAGTAATTTCGTTCCTTTTATGTCCCGACAAGAGAGAATAGTCTTTCTCTCTTGGTCCCGACCATTTTTATTTGACGTTAAGATCATTTAATTGGACAACACCTTAACGCCACCACCATACAATGGTAAGGCGTTGTAGTGCATATATAGACATGCCCTTCTTTTTTTTATTTATTTTAGGAGAGAATCATCCGAGAGGATCCGTTCGAGAGGAGGCGATGTTTGAAAGACGTTTACAGAGATGAATGTAACTTATACACAAAACACTTTGGGGCAGTATACTCCGCAACGGTACGATAAACCCCTAATATCACTTCTGACTGCATATTTTGAGACTGTTTATTTGTAAATCTGATTTGTAATCGCAGTAGTCATGATGTTATTGATTATTAGCCATAGTTTATTAATATGAATAAATAAAAAGTAAATAACTAACTCAGTCATGTTAGCCATAATAAAATAAAACAGGACGCTTGCGAACTCGAAGGACGCTCCCTCCTTCCTCTGGCCAAAACAGGCCAAACTATCCCATTTTCTCCACCCGTCATAGCTTGGCTACTAAGGCTGGTCCGTAGCCTGCGTCGCTTACAGTTTTGTTTGTCGTGCGGGCAAACGAGCGGCGTAGCCGCGAGGAGAACAAAAAGACAAGGAACCGTGTTTTTTTTCTCCTTCTTCTCCTTCTTTCCCTCTTTCGCACGGGCTTTGCGCGCATTTTCACCGATTTTTGTTGATTCTCGCCAAACAATGCGCCAAGGTGCCAGGTACGCATGCTAGCCAGTTCACGGTCAGTTTCCAACATGTTCCTCCAATATTTATAAACTGTAAGTAAGCAACGAAACTTATATTTGGAGATAGCTTAATAACTTGAGGCTTCACTCAAATCTAGTATCAAGTTATTGGCGGCATATTTAGTTAATCTTTTGATTTCTATTTTTAACAACGTGTAAATACATGATTATTTGTTAGGCTTGCAAAGAATCTTGCCTAGCGTACAATCAGCGCCAACAGTGCGGATGTATGGAGTATCGCTTTCCTGGAAATGACAAACGCATCTGCAATGTATCAGATTTACAGACTAGTAAGCAGACCAAACCAACCATTTTTTTCTTAATACATGGATTCATTTAGCTGCCATTAAACAGTAAGGCCTCGTTTATATACATTTCCTTACAGAACGTGGCGAACAGTTTACATGAGAAACAAAAAGTTGGCACGACTAGAAGGGTGATCCGCTTAGCCGGCTCACCCATTTNGGTACGATAAACCCCTAATATCACTTCTGACTGCATATTTTGAGACTGTTTATTTGTAAATCTGATTTGTAATCGCAGTAGTCATGATGTTATTGATTATTAGCCATAGTTTATTAATATGAATAAATAAAAAGTAAATAACTAACTCAGTCATGTTAGCCATAATAAAATAAAACAGGACGCTTGCGAACTCGAAGGACGCTCCCTCCTTCCTCTGGCCAAAACAGGCCAAACTATCCCATTTTCTCCACCCGTCATAGCTTGGCTACTAAGGCTGGTCCGTAGCCTGCGTCGCTTACAGTTTTGTTTGTCGTGCGGGCAAACGAGCGGCGTAGCCGCGAGGAGAACAAAAAGACAAGGAACCGTGTTTTTTTTCTCCTTCTTCTCCTTCTTTCCCTCTTTCGCACGGGCTTTGCGCGCATTTTCACCGATTTTTGTTGATTCTCGCCAAACAATGCGCCAAGGTGCCAGGTACGCATGCTAGCCAGTTCACGGTCAGTTTCCAACATGTTCCTCCAATATTTATAAACTGTAAGTAAGCAACGAAACTTATATTTGGAGATAGCTTAATAACTTGAGGCTTCACTCAAATCTAGTATCAAGTTATTGGCGGCATATTTAGTTAATCTTTTGATTTCTATTTTTAACAACGTGTAAATACATGATTATTTGTTAGGCTTGCAAAGAATCTTGCCTAGCGTACAATCAGCGCCAACAGTGCGGATGTATGGAGTATCGCTTTCCTGGAAATGACAAACGCATCTGCAATGTATCAGATTTACAGACTAGTAAGCAGACCAAACCAACCATTTTTTTCTTAATACATGGATTCATTTAGCTGCCATTAAACAGTAAGGCCTCGTTTATATACATTTCCTTACAGAACGTGGCGAACAGTTTACATGAGAAACAAAAAGTTGGCACGACTAGAAGGGTGATCCGCTTAGCCGGCTCACCCATTTTTTGATTCGGGTAGGGTCACCCTCTTAGCCCGGCCACTTTGGCTCATCCAGCAGGGTCAACTACTGATTCGCCCAATATAAGGGAATTCAGATTCTGGAATCCCGGAAAGTTTTGCTTGTGGAATCCGGAGTCCGGAATTTTTTTTTTTTGTTGAATCCGGAATCCTGGGCTTTGGAATCCTGAATACAGTTCAAGGAATCCGGAATCCACTAACAATTGCAATCCGGAATCCAAGTTCTACTTGAAATAATCAGGAGTCCAGAACCTGGAATCTGGAATCCAGAATTTAAGAGTGTGTTGGATTCCATGGGGCGACCTGATTGCTCGGGCAAACTAAAGAGGCACTTGAACTGAGGGTCTTTACTTTGTCTCATATAAACGTTCGCTAGTTAGCTTGACCCTTGTACCCCCGACTGGGAAAGGTTTTCTCCATGAAACGGGTTCTAATTTTAGTGTCTTTTTTTATTAACAGCGAGGTGCCTTAGCGCTGTCCAGACGGAGTTCAAGGAAAACAAATTAAATTGTACAAAGTCATGTCCACCACCATGTAGGTTAGTGAAAAAATCGTCTTTTATTCAACTGTGAAATAAGTTAAACGCAGTGAGAAACCTTTTTCAGTTATTTTCAAATAAACGATAATTCAGCTTTTGAAAGTCCTGTCTACTGACAGCAATACTTGTTCTAAACATTGAGCTGAATGCCATTTTGTCCACACAAGGCCTAAGTCTTATTTGAATTTGAGGCAAACAAGGACGTGGGGTTTAATTACTTTTATAAATAAAGATTATACAGTATAAAATATTTATAAGCTATATTGTGCTTAATTATTTAGAAGCGAGCATTTGCCACGATTTTTCTTTTTTTTTAGTGAGGAGGGGTTCAAGAGAAGCTCTTCGTTTGCTATTTGGCCATCAGAGGAACACGAGGTAAATGAACAGCTACCTCATTAATTAGCTCTGGTACAAATAAATCTAGGATAACAACATTAGGATGCATACATTTGTGTTTTTACCTCTGTCCTTTTGTTTAACGTTTCACAGCTACTCTACGTTGAAAAATATTCACGCACCGAAGAGGGAAATCTCAGGTAAAGTTTTGTGTCTACAAACAGTTTCCCATGCAATTTCTTGTATTGTGTTTGTCTGACAAAAACCGTAAACAACAACAACAACAAAAATTATATCAGTGACGACAGCAGCAACAACACCAACAACGCTCAGAACACCAGGGACATACAACAAGCCCAACAATAGTAGTGCCAAGAATGGTAGTCTAAAAATACATGCGCCTCTCATCTCTCTCCGACGTGATGCGAGGCGGCTGTTCTCGCAGGCTACGACAAAGTATAACTGCAATATTTTACGTGCAACAAACAACTCCAACAAACATGTAATGCAAAAAACTTAAACAATAAAAACAACTCAACATGCCTTGTAAATGCTAATCAGCTGTTTTAATTCTACAGAGAGAATATTTGCAAAGTGCAAGTGTTCTACGAAGAGTTGAACTTAGAGGTGATAACGGAGCAGAGATCGTACGAGGTACCAATTAGTCAACTGTGCAGATCATCCATATAGTTATTAGAAATCTTTGACTTTGAGAGGAACGCGAAAGGGACAAGGAGAGGAGTCTCTTTCCTTCTCTCTCGGATTCCTTCTTCCATTTTCCACCTTTCCCCTCTCCTTTCGACGCCTACCAAGCAGGTTCTTTTGATTTCTATTTTAAACAACGTGTAAATACATGATTATTTGTCAGGCTTGCAAAGAATCTTGCCTAGCGTACAATCAGCGCCAACAATGCGGATGTATGGAGTATCGCTTTCCTGGAAATGACAAAGGCATCTGCAATGTATCAGATTTACAGACTAGTAAGCAGACTTAACCAACCAATTTTTTTCTTAATATATAAATTCATTTAGCTGCCATTTAACAGTAAGGCCTCGTTTATATACATTTTCTTACAGAACGCGGCGGACTGTTTACATGAGAAACAAAAAGTTGACACGACTAGAAGTGTGATCCGTTTAGCCGGCTCACCCTTTTTTTGATTCGGGTAGGGTCACCCTCTTAGCCCGGCCGCTTTGTCTCATCCAGCAGGGTCAAATGATGATTCGCCCAATATAGGGAATCCGGATTCTGGAATCCAGGAAAATTTTGCTTGTGGAACCCGGAGTCTGGAATTTTTTTCGCTGAATCCGGAATACAGCTCAAGGAGTCTGGAATCTACTAACGATTGCAATCCGGAATCCAAGTTCTACTTGAAATAATCAGGAGTCCAGAACCTGGAATCTGGAATCCACGGCCTGGAATCCAGAATTTAAGACTGTGTTGGATTCCATGTGGCGAGCTAATTGCTCGGGCAAACTAAAGAGGCACCTGAACTGAGGGTCTTTAGTTTGTCTCATATAAACGTTCGCTAGTTAGCTTGACCCTTGTACCCTCGACTGAGAAAGGTTTTCTCCATGAAACGGGTTCTAATTTTAATGTCTTTTTTATTAACAGCGAGGTGCCTTAGCGCTGTCCAGACGGAGTTCAAGGAAAACAAATTAAATTGTACCAAGTCATGTCCACCACCATGTAGGTTAGTGAAAGAATCGTCTTTTATTCAACCGGAAATAAGTTAAACGCAGTGGGAAACCTTTTTCAGTTATTTTCAAATAAACGATAATTCATCTTTTGAAAGTCCTGTCTGACTTGTTCTAAACATTGAGCTGAATGCCATTTTGTCCACACACGGCCTAAGCCTTATTTGAATTTGAGGCAAACAAGGACTTGGCGTTTAATTACTTTTATAAATAGAGATTATACAGTATTAAAATATTTATAAGCTACATTGTGCTTAATTAGAAACGAGCATTTGCCACGGTGAGGTTCTTTTTTTTAGTGAGGAGGGGTTCAAGAGAAGCTCTTCGTTTGCTATTTGGCCATCAGAGGAACACGAGGTAAATGAACAGCTACCTCATTAATTAGCTCTGGTATAAAGGATACCAGCATTATGGTGCATACATTTGTGTTTTTACCTCTGTCCTTCTGTTTAACGTTTCACAGCTACTCTATGTTGACAAATATTCACGCACCGAAGAGGGAAATCTCAGGTAAGGTTTTGTGTCTACAAACAGGTTCCCATGCAATTTCTTGTTGTGTTTGACAAAAACCGTAAACAACAACAACAACAAAAATTATATCAGTGACGATAGCAGCAACAACTACAACAACGCTCAGACCACCAGGGACATACAACAAGCCCAACAACAGTAGTGTCAAGAATGGTAGTCTAAAAATACATGTGCCTCTCATCTCTCTCCGACGTGATGCGTGGAGCTGTTCTCGCAAGCTACGACAAAGTATAACTGCTATATTTTACATGCAACAAACAACTCCAACAAACATGTAATGTAAAAAAACTTAAACAATAAAAACAAATCAACATGCCTTGTAAATGCTAATCAGCTGTTTTAATTCTACAGAGAGAATATTTGCAAAGTGCAAGTGTTCTACGAAGAGTTAAACTTAGAGGTGATAACGGAGCAGAGATCGTACGAGGTACCAATTAGTCAACTGTGCAGATCATCCATATAGTTATTAGAAGTCTATGACTTTGAGATTTTTTTTTAAAAAAAAGGGAGGAGTGACAGAAATGATCCATTTTTTGAAAGAAGACGACTTTCCATTTTGTTTCCGGGTAAGAAGACTCGTACCAAGTCGCTATTTCCTTGTTTTTGGGCTGATACATATATTAAGATTGGGGTTAGGTTGTGGCGCGCAGGGATCTATGAGTCCACCTCGTCCACGCGAGCTTCAACCTAACCCTAATCTTCTCTCAACCCCAAAACACGTAAAATTAAAAGCGACTGGGTACAAGTCTGCTTCCGCAGAAGCAGAATGAGTAGTCGTTTTCGCGTTTTTCTCAGTACGTAATGATAGCCTGCGTGGAAGGCTCAAAAAAGGAGAGGGGAGGGGAGGGGAGGGGAGAAGAAGAGAATCACGAAACGGACAAGGAGGGGAGTCTCTTTTCTTCTCTCCCCAATTCCTTCTTTCCTCCTTTCCCCTCCCCTTTCGACGCCTGCCAAGCAGGCCACAGTGACGGCAAAGAACAAGTGGAGGAAAATGCAAGCGCCGTTAAAAAGCCTCTTCGCAAGGTTTTGATCAACATGGTTTCCAAGAGGTCCCTCTCTGCCTGCAGCAACCATACTTGGGAACGGTTCTGTGAAAAAAATCAAGACACAAGAGAACCTACAAAAAAGGACCATTTCTGCATTCCTCAAAACAAAGAAACCGAGTTGACGCGTGGGTTACACAACACGTTTCTGTGTATGAAATAAACCCAAGTCCGGCCTGTCTCGTTTCATTTTCTTTGCCTTCACTGGAGAGGAATACCAAAAAGGTCTGTTCAGATTGATTCAGCTATAGTGGAATGGAACCGTAACTTCACCAACAAAGTCGCACCGTTAGTAAAGAGCTGATTTTATAATTTTATTTTACTATTTAACTAAACTTCACCAATACAAAAAGGAAAAGTTAAGAGGTTAATAGAATAAAAGGCCGGACACAACAGCAACCTGCAGCAACTTTCCGTAGCGGCGCTCACTTCAACCAAAAAAGGGCAAAACAATTAACTTGCAGCAGGCCTTTCATGTCATTCCACAAACTAGATATTAGCTTTCTTTATTCAGTTCACTAGCCTGCGAAAACATTCGTTTCTCCTCGCTCTTCGCCGCTGGGGACGTTTCGCGCGGAGGAACGTCTGCGACTCAGCGACAGAAATTCCATACTGATGACGTAAAATCTGTCCCGAATCCAGTCAGAAGCGCTGATTGGTCGACGCAGTAGTTTCATTGTTTTAGCTATTGTCTGCGAATGACAGACAAAAGACAAAAGGCCACAAAGGTCAAATGTAAACGCGAAGAATCTCTAACAAAACAGTCAATATTTGTGGAATATAGTCTTCTCTAGAAGAATCATTTGGGTTTTGCTGGAGCTCGTTGACAGATGAGCACAACGTTACCAAAATCGACAAGAAGACACGTAAAATTAGACAAATTTATATTTGAACCCCATGACTACCGGATTTATTATGTAAACATTGATTTGCGTCATCAGTATGGAATTTCTGTCGCTGAGTCGCAGACGTTCCTCCGCGCGAAACGTCCCCAGCGACGAAGAGCGAGGAGAAACGGATGTTTTCGCAGGCTATCAGCTCACCACTGAACCAAAATTTCAAAACATTAGAAAACAGAAACAGTGTAACCTCAACTTCCCCGTTTCCATAATTCGTTTTGTTGATTTCACAGATAGTGGATTTCGTGTCCGACATTGGTGGTCAGCTGGGGCTTTGGATTGGCTTTTCTGTGCTTACTGTGGCTGAGCTCCTGGAACTGTTCGCGTTGCTATTTCACATTGCTATCGATAAATTTGATAAAAGATGGCGCCAATACACGGAACATGATGAGCATGAAGAGCGTGTCTAGAGTAGCAGCTATGAAATGATGCATGAATACAGTATATATCCGTTCACGGTAGCACATCAGTTTTCCTTTAACTTGTGCTGCTGTTTCTTTCCCAAAATTGACAGGGGCTCCTTTCAATATTTATTACATAGGACGTGTTTATTGAAGGACATATGCATGAAGACTGCTCGGTTAACCATATATACACACTGGCTGGTCAAAGTGACTAATAAGAACTTCTGGCACCTGAATTTGCTTTAAGAGTTGAGGTTAAAACTATACTTTCTGTCAATTTCAATGTCGTACAGTGTCATGCACTTCGACTGAGACCCGCCGGGAAAACTGTAGCAAGCCACCTTAATAGTTTAGTTCCTTGCAATGGAATAGGCCACTTCGCTCCGAGTTCCAAAAACCCTCACTTTCAAAATGAGGCCAACTGCACAACCTTTCTTGTGAAAATGAGTTCAATTTGCATGAGAATGAAAAATCATTTCCATATCAAACGCTGAGCACTTAACCTTGTTTTGATACAGAGGCCCGGGCGAACTCGGAAATGGCTTATAGATGTTTGTCAGTCTTTTCTTTTCCCACTTTAGTCAGTATTTAGTGATATTCACTTAAGCATACTAGATAACGTTATGTTTAACCATTAAAAATCTCAATAAAAAATAACATCAAAAACAATGTTTATTTTGGGAGGCTTTTTATATATGTACCGTAGACTGGTGCACAAAATATGATTTTCCTGCCGGTACAAAATCTATCTAGTATGGTGTGAACATGGCCTTAAGAACGTGATTGTAGTTTGAGGGTGAGGGTCAATAATGTTTTCTGACGTACAGGGTGTTGTCACGTAAGCTGCCACTCTGACGTCATCCTTAAGCTATGATGGCATGACCGTTTTAAAGACAACAACGAAAGCAGTCTGATAGTCCAATGCTCAAAAGGCAAAAAACATCAACTTCAACTTTAATTTATTTTTACACAGGACAATAATATTAACATTCGTTGACATAATTACGTGCATCTACTATAAGGATACGTAAAAGAAAAAACAATCTAAGTAGTTGGCCACTGTCATGTAAGCTATTAGAGTCTAAATATGGGAGGCTAAATGGACAATCATCGAAAAGTTACATATTAAGTTTACAAAATATAGATATTTGTATGTTAATTGAGTGTTATGGTTGGATATCTAGTGCTCGCTTGGTAGAGATTAGACAAGGAAAGAGGGACGTTGCGTGCTCACAATTTTGGACTGAGTTAGCTAAGCCATAACTGAATCAAGTCACGAGCCGTGATAATCCTTCCTAATGCCTGTTGCCAAGGAGAGAAAAGCTTTTTACTAGTGGATCATTATATAATATTAACACCTCACAAATAAACGCGAATAAACCGTACATGACTGCCGTTTGTCCTATTTCCCTTACGTTTTATTCTAATTTATTTATTACATACAGAGATTTATTCACTGACAACAATTGACCCTGCCATGCATAGGTGATCTCAGTTGAACCTTTTGGCTGGCGTCATGCGTAAATCGCCCCAGTTTGCGTCAATAGAGCGGATGTTTCCCTTATCAAACGTTGTGTGCCTGATGCTCACGAACAAAACGTGCCCTCATTGCATGTCCCCAGTCGCTAGGTAGACCACCAAGAATGGTTCTTTATTGAAGATTCTGTTTGAGCAAGTGAAATCGTTGTTTATTTATTTTAACGTGAATTATAAGAAGCTACTAGCCAGCAAGGACTTGACTTCATAAGGTAAGGACTTAATATTATTACACGCCGTAAACTTAGGACTTTTATTACAGCACCTGTTAACCGAAGCGGCGAATTCACCTCCTGTCGAAAATTTCAGATGTTCTCATTCATTTACAACATGTAGCATATGTGAGGTGATATGAATGTGCATTAATGTAAAATATAATGAGCATGACTAAGGAAAGAAAAAATGCTATTAAACTAAATTAACGATTGCTTAAGTCGCGGTGTAGTTGATGCCCCTAACTAGGATTCACATGTGGGCCTATTACTGATACGTTATTATTCATCCAACTCAAAGACGAATACAGTCTCATTAATGTGCTTTATCATCTCGCGCTAAGAGGACTCTAAGAGATCAATTTTGATTCAGCTACGTACTGGCAGGATTCTTAACGCACCGATGACCCTCTGCTTTAATAATCGTCATTCTGATCATTCAGCATTGTCATTTTTATTTCGTAAATAGCGGCCACAACACCAATCAAAGTAATGTAACATTAGACTTTCAAAGGTCTTGTCCACCAGTCCCCGGTTGTTCAGTCAAACGTTGGATAGCGCTTCCACCGGATAAATCACTATCCAGCGGAGAGTATTAGGGAAACCAATCGCGCTTTATCCAGTGGAAAGCGGCTATCCAACGTTTGAACAACCTGCATGGCCAGGGTAAAAGAAAAATTAAAGAAAAAGAAAAAATCCACTATCATATACTAATCATAACCTGCCTTTAAGTTTATATCCACCGAGGATATCTGCAGTTATGTAATACGTTTAAAAAAGTAAAAGACTATTTTAAAAATTATATTCTCTAAGTGTGAAATTAAAACGCACGTAACGTATAAGCTTTGTGTTTAATCAGCCTTGTTGCCCTAATATAAAACTTTTCTTTAGATAAGGATGAATAATTGAAAAAGCTTTGACAAAAGAGAACATTTAATTACTTTTTATGCAACTTCAATGTCACCAACGTTTACCAAACAGCCAATACGATTCTTCGAGCATGAAGTATATAGCCGAATATCATTGGTACTGTTGGTATGGTTATTTTGCATGTGTTTTTCAAAGAATACTAAAAGCGGTCTCTTACTTCAAGCCAAAACCTGCCAGGCTTTAATTCGTGTCGTGTGATATGCGCTTACTGTTGTTGATTAATTATCATCTCCTCCAACAGCTGCATCACCCCAGCTTGAATGTTAAATGAAGTCGCTTGTCCATTTTATTATAATACCAAAATATTCAAAATTTACAATCTTGCATTTTATTATTTACAAACCTGATCCATTCACCATTATTTTTAACTTGCTATGATGGCACCTCAGGCAATACTGTGACAATGTACAATGCTGAGCAATATGGAGATAAATATCCGATATGCTATTAATGATTGTTCGATTGTTCGGCTTATTTTTAAATCCAAAAACATTGTGTCTAACAGAGATTTATAATGCAACCGAAAAATATGGGAAATTATTTTCACTTGAGGACAAAACGTTACTATCACAAATGATTAACAATAATTAAATTGAATGACGCCAAGTATGATGTATTTTTAAAGAATTGTGCAGATTGAGGCCGGTGTTATCTTGGAAAACAGCCTCCGTGACCTGAGCAGATGTTTTTTTTTTCCCCTTCAGATACTGTTCAAAAACTAAATGTCATCTATTGAGCAAAATTTGTTGCGTATTCTTGCATATGTTCCGTTGAGTTTTAGTTATTCGCGGGCTTTTTGGACTTCGGATAGTCGTGAACTCTTTCGCCATTTTCTTTTGTTCACTTATGCCAAAACAGCGCGCTAGGCTACACTGCGGCGCTGCCTGGCAACCGAGAGGTTGGGATTGGATTGTACATTGGGGCAATCGTATATTGCTCGCAAACTCCAAATATGGTCTGCGCCAGCGGCTGGTAAGGGAAGAATTAACCGGTAAAGCCAATCAGAAACGGCGAAATATTTTAAAGTAATAATAAATTTTGTTAATCGTATTTCCTCCTCGTTTTGTTTAAATGATTAAACGGAGCAATTAGAACGACTCCGTTTTTTTGATATACATCTGCCCTCAGTAAAATGTCACGGCTTTATTGGAATTGTGTCATTTTACGTTGACTTATATTTTTTTTTTGGTTGGAAGGAAACGCAATGAACTTTCAGGGCTCGTTACGTGATGCGAGTCACATTTGCATTTAACGTTATTGACAGACCTCCGTTACTCATGAAGAAAACCCCTTAGGACCAAAGTAACACCCGTCTGTCAGCTCAACCTCGAATAAATCCCTGGGAACAAGGCTGCCACGAGTTAAGCCGAAGCCTATTTTATGTCTGACACAGAGTAGTTTCTATGCAATACCCGCAATCTATATTTCATATACAACACCAGAAACCCTAGGCGCTAAACATCCTAGAGAAATGATGCAAAAAGAAAAGCAAATGAGTAAGCCAAGTCTTTGGAAAAACAAAAGCTTGACTCCTAGTACGCGTGCGCGGCTGCATTGGCCCACAGGGATCCCATGCTGCGTGCACTATACTCCGCACTCTCACTAATGAATGTTGATAGTTGATTTGAGACGATTTTCCAGGGAGAGCACGTAATCCCATCACTGGGTGAAAAAAATTGACCTTAAGGAGGTTTCTTTTCAGATTTAGCATTTTTTTTTTCATGGAGAATTTATTCTCTTTTGTGTTACATGTCCTGGATAAACATATGAAAAGGTTCAAAGCTGTCAATGCTGTGGAGTCTAAGGGAATAGTCTACAACAAACTCCTTAATAATCAAAATTAATTTTCTAACCCTAATATATCAAGGTTACTGTCTAGTTATTATATTAATGCCTTCTAAAAATATTCACCTTAAACCTCCCACTTATTTGATCTCTTTTTTAACCCTAGGCTCTCCGTGCAGATTAAAGAACTCTAGACGCAAAAGTTTGATTGAATTGTTTAATTCACTTTAATCCATGTTAATTGCTCCATCCTAAATCACCCTAAATTTTGCTATAATTAAAACCTATTTTTCTCAGGTATCCTTTAATTCCAAGAAAGTTTATTCTTGCTGGTTACAACAAAACATCGCAACGGGGCTGAAGAATACGCTCACACTTATTGTGATCTATCATTAATTAAGTATTGATTTTTCTAAAGGACGTTGTAGACCGCATATCAACCATGTTTCTTTTTAATTTCAACTCATGATATTGAGTCTCTTCCCTTGTTCTATCAAAACAAGTTGTGTTCTGTATGAATTAGCCAACCCAGTTTTGCTCTAT